TATATTTTAAAAAAAAAGTCTCTTTTTATCCCAACACGGCCCAATAACTTCCGGAAGCAGCATTTGTACCAGCCGACTTATATAAAAATATAGAAAATAACCCTTCATCCAATTTTGTTCAAATTTTGGACAAAAGTGCACAAATTTGAGATGTTATATCTTCATAACATATAGTTAAGATTTTATGTCTTCATTTCTTGAGGCATAATAATTGGTAAACAAATTTGAGATGTTTTTCCAACCAAAAATCTTCATAAGCTTCACTCTTGTTAAAGGCCTCTACAATACCGCAGTTGTAGTAATGAAGGTACTCACGGTGGGATAAAAAAAATCAACCACCAACTTCAAAGGATACTACTGAAACCACTTAGGCCTTTGCTGGTCAACACCTAGCTTTGGGCCAATCGAAATTTTGCAGAATGCCAAAAAAAAAAAAAAAAACTCCACCTTCGATTTATGCGCATATTAAAATATGTCACACAAATAAACTATTTAGAGATCGGCAAAACATCGCATAAAAATATAAATCCGAACAATAAAAAAGTTGTGAGATTAGTTTAAAGATATATAAAAGTTGTGGCATGCTACCTTATTTTCTTTAGAAAAATAGTAGAAAATATGCCAATATGAAAAGCTTAAGAAAGTATATAGGCTAATTTTTAGTTATAGAAATTAATAGACCATAATTTGTCAAGTTATGGTTCATAGCTAGACAAATTATGGACAATTATGGACAATAACTTGTCAAGTTATGGTTCATAACCAGAAAAGTTATAGACGAAACAGTAATTTGACATATTTATTAACTTATGTAAACTATTGGCCTATTAATTTTAATTCATCTCAAATCTTGACCTATTTTCCTCTTTTTTCCTTTTCTTTAAATTGCACTTGTATCTTTTTGTCGTGCCACTTCAGCCCGTGATTATTTTAATCATTTACATATATTAGCATAGCTCAATATGCAAAGGAGCAGAGAGTATCTTCAATAAAATTGATAGGTTTACATTGATTTGTAGGTGACAATGCAATATTTAAAAGTTTGGAAGGTATAATGAGACGAGCATAACGGTTTAGGTTTCTAAAATTTGTTCTGTCCAAATTTGAATGAAAGTGAACGGTGAAGGTATAAGGGCACATTAGAAGTAGTGTCCAAAGTTTGAGAGAAATTTTAGATTTTATCCGAAAAGAAAGTGAACCGTTCGAAGTTCTCTTCACGCGAATGTGGTTTATTGGTCAAGTAAAACAAAGTAATAAAAGATACAAAGTTAAAAACTCACAGATTTATAGCCTTTATAAATACATTTTATTTTTACTTAGTATTAACCAAGCCTCCGTAGCATAGTGGTAGTGCGTTCGCTTCGTAAGCGAAAGGTCGCGAGTTCGATCCTCGCCGGGGGCTGGTGACATTTCCTTTTTTTTTGGTTTTCCAAGTTTCATTTCAACTTATTCCTCGAGCAATGCCCAAAAAAAGTCACAAAACGACGAGAAAAGATAGACCGCGGAAAAATTATACGTGCGAAAACGGGAACATATAATAAAACAAGTAAAGGAGTAAGAATTAGGGCCGATAATTTCGGACACGATACGAGATAAATGAGTTTAGACCGTACGATTATTAATTGGGTCGTTAACGGGCTGACACGAATAATACGAAAATAATCGGGTTGGATTCGTGTCAGCCCGTTTAACACGCTTAACCCGTTTAGTTATACGGGCTATAATCGGGCTGACACGGCCCGACCTGGACCGACCCGTTTATTAATATATATATTTTATTTTTTTTAAGACAAAACCCTAGCTTTTCTATATTAGAGGTGTTAAACGTGCCGTGCCGGGCCGGCACGGCATGCTTGACAGCAGGCCCATTAAGGGCCTGGGCCGGGCTTGAGAAGAAAAACTCAGGCTCGGTCTAGGCCCTTGGCCCTGGTCCATAAGGGCCAGGGCCGTGCCTGGGCCCAGGCCCTTCACAGGCCGGTCTCGACCCTTGTATTTTTTTTTTAAATTTAGTTAAAAAAATATATCATATGCCCCAAAAGATGTGATTTTATTGAATTGACGTAATAGGAGTACACATAAATGACTGCCTCATTAAAAACCTTGCTAAGTAAAACCCGTGGGGAGATCGGGACAAAACCTTAGCAAAGGAAAAAAGAATGCAGTAGCTAGGAATAGTAAATTACAAACCTAAGTACTTCTAGAAGATTCTGTTATTTATAAGTTAGAAAAATATTCTTGCATCGAATCATCTGTGTATTGTTGTTTTCGTCTTCTGACATCTTCCTAGTCTTTAATGCACATTAGTCCCTCCAAGATATCTGGATGCATTCTGCTTCTCTTCTCGTCAAGAATTCGGTTGCTTGCGCTAAAAGCTTGTTTTGATGCTACTGTTGACAATGGAGTTGTCAGAATGTCACGAGCTATTATGGACAGTGTTGGAAAACGATCGGTCTTACTCTTCCACCACTGTAAGATGTCTAGTTTGTCGTCATCGATTACAAAATTTGCATCAAAATATTTGACTAGTTCTGTAGACGCTTGTGTTGAGGACAATCCTACCATTTTCTCTTTCTTCTTCAAGAAACTCCATGACGATCCTTTAGGCCCCGAACTAGTAGTTGACGACAAATTTCCCTATTCTTTTTGACCTGTGCTGTAGTTTGCTTCATACAAACTAAAAATCTTTTCTAACATTTTCTTGGCGTCAGTAATACTTAGTTGCATATCTATTTCTAAATTCTCTGCGGTAACAATCATCAATGATTCAGTTCTATCTACTCCACACCTAAGATCTAAAATGGTTGCCAATGCATATAACATAGGACAACCTGACCAATAACTTTTAAATTTATTTTTCATTAACTTAACTATATTTTCAAAAAGTTCTGTATCCCTATGATAAGAAAATCTTTCTGAAATATTAAATAGTTGATGTAAAGCTAAATGTACAGTAGGATAATAAACTCCAGAAAGTAATTCAGTAGCATTGTAAAAAACGTCTAGAAATTTTAAAAAATACTCAGCAATTTACCAATCAGGATCAAAAATTAAAATTTGATCGTTCTTACTATTTACGTATGTCGTGATAAGCTGTGAAAACGGGAGTGCTGCCTTCAACATTAAATATGTGAAATTCCACCTATGTCTCACGTCAGTTGGAAACTTTCTTGGGCGCATCTGACTATTCCTACAATATTGTTTGAATTCTTGGAGCCGAGCTCCAGAACTAGATATGAATGATAATGATTCTCTAATATTTGTAAGATTAGCTGAGATATGTTCAATTCCTGCCTGAACTACTAAATTAATTATGTGACTTGCACACCGTTGATGAAAAATTTCCCCTCCAAATGCTGGTTTCAAACTACGTTTAAACAGATTAATTGCAGCTGTATTGGCTGACGCATTATCAAAAGTAATTGTTAAAACTTTATCTTCTATCCCATAAAACCCAAAAATTTCCATTATTGTACTAAAAATAGATGTGGCGTTATGAGGATATGGATATAAATGAAAACCAATTATTCTTTTTTGTAAAACCCAATCGTCATCAACGTAGTGCACTGTGACACATAAATATCCAGTTTTATTGCACCCCTCCCATAGATCAGAAGTGCAAGAGACAGTAGCATTAAAAGTCCTAAAATTATCAACAATAGATTGGCTCATTGCATAAAAAACTTTCATGCAATCATAATGAGTTGTGTTTCTACTTACCTGTTTAAATTATGGGAAAAAGGCTGTCTAGATGAATTCTTCGAACGAGACATCATCTGCAAAAGAAAGAGGCAATTCGGCACTAGCTAGAAATTTAGCTAGTGCCTCAGGAGCACGTTGTGCATCGTATGTAAAATTTTGTAACCCCTGCGATGTGAGTAATAGTGTTTGTTGGCGGGAGTCCACACTCCCAACTTAGTGCAACGGTAGACATACTTTCTAATGTCTATCCAGATGACCAGTACCCCCACCATTTTTATTAGAAAAGTGTTTTTTACAATATTTACATACCGCACGAATTTCCATCTCACCTGTTTTTGGATTTGGTCGGGGCTCCTCGATGAAATGCTACCATGCCGGAGAAGTTCGCGGTCTTTTTTCTTTGTTGCGTTCTCCAGCTTCCTCGTTGTGTACTGAAGCATTATACACCGGAGCATTTTCTGGCTCAGTGGGGGTGGGGTTGGGAGGCATCATTTCATCCTAAAAAAATGGCTCATCACCAAGCTCAGGAAGACCAGTGAATTCAAGGAAGTTTGGTGCGGTCATTTTCAGGAAATTGATAGAACTTGATTGAACTTTGTAAATGAAAGAGCTAGAAAATGAATGAACGCGAGAAAAAAGCTTAGAATCAAAATCAA